CGAGTTCTACCAGTCTTTGCCATCGATTGATCTCGCCGTTGTCGGTCACCGTGGAATCCTCGAAGCATTCGAACGGAATGATTTCGAAAAATATGTAAAACTGTTCGGACGACGCGGAGGGGAAAGTGTCGTATCGTGTCGTGTCGTGTCGTGTCGTGTCGTCGTGGAAGGAGAAAGACGATCGAAAAATCTGGTTCGACACACTCGTGGGAAATTGCTGTTTCGACGAGAGTGCCGAGGTGTCGATGGTCTTTTCTCAATCGTAACGGAGCGGAATTTGGTCCCCAACAACAAGTGGAATTATCATCTAGGCGACGAAATCTTTCCCTTTAAATGCGAAAACGGACGCGAGGTGATTCGTTTAGATTTGCACTGGTTCCACGTAGTTCGCGGGTAGCATGCCGTGCCGTCCCGTGCGCTGCACCAGCCCCGTCATCCAACCCTCGTCGATGGCCGTGCAATTGACGATCAGGTCGCCGTCGCAGAAGCTCACCTCGTCCAGATCCTGCGCTTGGTAGTCGTACATCGCTCTGTACACTCTCTGTGACGAAAGAAATTAAGAAAGAGAAATTAATATATGTAATTCTACATTCGAGTCTTGATTGTCCTGTGTGGAACATCGCAGAAGTTCCACAAAAATTCTGGACAATCGACAATTTTTCTAAACCGAAAAGATACGTAACTTTCGACACGGAATGACTATATCTTTCCAAGATAAATTACAATTTATTATTCATTTATTTTCTCTTTTTTTTTTTTGCGCTGATTCGCAATATCTTCACAGAAGAAGATTGTCTTTTCGTTTTCGAAAAGCAAGAACAACTCACCCCAACATTGGTGGTGGCTGGTGGAGACTGCATGTGCTGTGGTACGTGATTGTTATTCGTTGCTGGCGTCAACGACCCGTAGTATTCGTTCACGGGGTCTATATCGGCTACCGAACCAATCTTCCTGGCCGGTGGATTCGTAACTGAAAAAACGATTCGCCAAAAACTTACGAGAAAGTTCCTTCTTCGGAAGGCACAACGTGTTAGCGTGTGTGAAACATCGTTCGTTCGACGAACACAGAAAATACAAAAGAAAAAAAAAAAATGATGCACAAGTATTGGAAAGCGGTTACGAGTGAATCGGTGACAAAAAGTTGAAAAGAAGAAACAATGGAACGAAAAATAAATACGTCACACAGAAGACAGTAATACTTTTGCGACCAGCCACCGTTAACCACAACATCTTTCTCAGTCACTTTTTTCATCCGAAAATTACTTAACGTGAATTTTCCAAGTTTCCATGGCGGTGGAACGACGACGTAAATTCACCGTGACGTTGTAGAGATAATGGCCATTACGTTAGAATAGGAGTAACCGAATTGCCATCCATCCACCTATCGTTCGAACTTCGAATCCAATTAAAAGGCGATCTATTGAAACTAACTACGTATTGCCGGTTGCGTAACGAATGACCAACCCGTATGGCTGGATTGTACACGAAACGAGGGTATGTTTCAATTGTGTGTTTAAGTATCACTTAAGTATCAGGACAGCAGAAGGAGATAGAGCAGAGATCATTTTTCCCTTCTTCATTGATTTCTACCCTAAATTAAGAGCTTAAGAGCGACGAAACATAGTCCGCGAGTTCTGTAAATTTGATAAAATAAATAGATTCGTATGTTAATTATAACGCGACTTGCAACGGCAATTTTTGACTGTTTGAAAACGTTATTACAATAATCTACCGAGTCATCTTTCGATCAATTGAATCATATAATTAAACAATTATGCGTTCAAATCGAATTAAATTAAAAACGAAACGAATTGTACATCGAACTTGCGTATGTTAAATGTTAAATGAAAAAGATGTCACCACACGAATTAGTATCTATAGAGGAGAGAACTCATCGCAACATTGACTCATTGTCGGAAAAAGATCCCCGTTGATTCAACCTCTTAGCTGCTATAGTGGCTCGCTTGTTTCTCACAATCAGTCGAAGAGAGCTCTGTACGATGTTATCTTGTTTATAAAACTTCAATCAAAATTCACTTTTTTCGATTTCAAAGCTTCAATTGCAACGTAATAACGTAAAACAATGAAATTCATTATTACACTTTTCTGCGCGATTTGCGTCATGCATCCTGATATTACAGAAGCTTGTAGCTTCGCGACAAAAATCACACCGTAACTATAAGAGGTCGGAGAAAAGATTCAGAACATAATTGAAAAGCTTTCATTCGCAAGTATCAAATGTAATATTCTCAAGAAAAAAAAAAAAAAAAAAAA